AGAGTCGGTTTCTTCAGTTTCACATCAATGATGGCCTTCTGGTTAAGTCTTATACTTCTGGCGCTGTATTCCTTCCATGTGGTCGAGAAACTGCATTTCTGGCCCTGGCTTTTGGTCGTATGTATATAACAATTACAACAATCCATTCATTGATGCATTTTATTTATATTAATCATAATTGACTCCAATTTCCTCCCTATTTATTGGGACGACAATCGCTTTAATGGTTTCAAATATGCATTGATTTATATTTGGTGTCATTTTGTCACTCATAGGAATTTGCCTATTGTCTCATTTGGACCGCATTTTACTTCTTGTCATCGCTTCTCATGCTTATCGACGGCGGCGTCCATTCGGCTGCGGGAGTGAGTCATCCCTTTTCATACATATCCTTATATTTGAGAAATTTATTATATTTAATATGTTATTAAATTTATCTGTCATTACGACTGACCGTTGCCTTCCTTTTCCTCGCATTTATTATCAATTAATTGATTCAAAGTTTGAGGAAATTATTGCTTTAAATTTCACTTAAAGTTTCTTTTGTGTTGTAATAAAGTGGGAATTTTTACTTTTTGCCGTTATATAATAGTCACACTACAGCACAGCACTACACTACACTACAGCACTACTAGTGCTGCACTAGTAGACTACAGCAATATGATTGGCTGTGTGATTAGGTGTGACATGAATACATGTCTCACAGCCAATCATATTGCTGTAGTGTACTATTATATAACGGCAAAAAGTAAAATTTCTCACTATACATAGTCTGATAAGCATTTCAAATGTTTGATTTGTCTTTTCCTTTAGTCCATATACTGTGCAATATTTTTAACCACAATTCATATATGAATAATGTAGTTTATAGAATTGTTCGACCCTTCTATCCCTCCCCCACCCTATGGGGATGGGATTCCATGTTAATCCTATGGCTATACTTTAACATAGAGAGACTCATAGGATAACATGGGGATAATTCTTTTATGTTTTTACATGGATTTCTATGAGAATACAGCTTAAGTCAATGACATAGGAATAACATGAGCAATGTTCAGTCTATGGCAATGCTAATCCTATGGGTAATGTTAAGACTATGGGAGTAATGTTATTCCAACGGGATAATGCTTTTTTTGTATAGAAAAATGTTTTTATCGCTAGGTATGGACAACTAAGTCTATGGAGATGATGCTTTTTCTATAGAGATATCTTAAACGTATCTAATAATTTAATAAAAATAATTGTTAAAATACTATTTTTAAATCTTTAATGCATCCCCAGAATTGTGGTTAACGTATAGGTTAATCGACGTGTTTATACAGTAATTTATAATTGATTTTATTTAATTTATTGACAACTCTTTGTCAAAATGTCTATCTATGGGAACACTTCTAATATATCCTTTCAAATTGAGTACTGATTTATTATTTAAAAATTCAAAACACATTCATTCGTAGAAATTTTATATTGAAATTAATTGATTTCTCAATTGCTAAAAAAATAAATTACTCATTCATTTTGTACTACATTTAGGTTTTTGGTTTCATTGCGTTTGGGATCTATGGTTACGACGCCTTCCTTAAGTACAAGGGCTATAGTGCCGGAGAGATAGCACAGGGAGAGAGGACTACAGTCGGCGGACAGTCTAATGCTTAGACACAACCATTACCTCATT